CTGAGCTGGCACAGCCAGTGCTTCCAGGAAAACAGTTTTTGTTCTGGGGTCTGCTGTGAGATGTGACTGGGAATAAGCAAAACAGGCTCTAGCTTAAACATAAAGAACAGTTTATTACTTAAACTACAGGAAAATCGGAAAAAAATAGAAATAAAAATAATAAATAATAATAAAAATAATAATAAATAGTAAAATAATAAAATATAATAAATAAATAAATAATATTATTATAATATTATAATTTCATAAATATAATATATTAATATAATAAAAATATAATATTACATATTATATATTATATTATATTATATTATATTTTATATTATAATAATATTATATTATAATAAATAATAAAATATATTATATAAAATATTTAATATAGATATAAATTATATTATATGACAATATAATATATTATAATAAATAATAAAAATAATAAAGTAATAAAAATAATAATGAATAATAATAAAAATGTAAATAATAATGGTATACTATAATAAATAATGAAAAATAAAATAATAAAAATAATAATAAATAATAATAAAATATAAATAATGATATATAAATAATATAATATGCATTATATTATTATATATTATTAATATAATATAGTAATAATTTATAATATATATTATATTATATATAATATATTATATTATATATAATATATATTTATATATAAATACATAAAAATATATTTAAATATATAAATTTATATATTTATTATATAAATATAATAGTTATATATTAATTATATGATTAATATATAGTTATATATAATGTAATTATATATAAATATATAATTAATTACACATTAATATATTAATATATAATTATATATTAATATATAATATTAATAATTAATATTATTAATTAATAAAATTAATTTTCAATTAATTTTAATTGAAAATTAAAGTTTTCAATTTTTTTTCTTTTTCCTTTTCTTTCTAAGGAAAAAGAAAAAAAAATTGAAAACTTTACAAAAACCACTTTCCAACAACATTCCAAAGGTAAAAACTTTCTACATTCAAACAAGAGCTGTAGAAATATAAAGCTTTACCAAAGGATGGTGAATTATTCAATGGGTGAGTTATTGCACAAGAATTTTATTTATTCCACATTTATCTGTTCTTTTATTGACAGGGCAAGTCCAAATCTGGAGGAAGCAGCAAATTTTGGTTAAAAGAACTCCAAGGAACATCTCACTA